AGAAAAATAGACGAATAAATTACACTTGAAACTCTTATTTGACCAAGGTCGATATGATTTTATTTGATTACTAATCTCTTTATCATTTCAATTTCTTATCCATTTAATTACTTTATTGAAAAGTTCATCGATAGATTTATTTTTTTCTCTCTCTTATTATATACATATATATTGCACAAGTAAATATAAATTAAAAATGTGTCTTGAAACGATTGTAAGCTTTGATATACAATCAAAAAAAAGAAAGAAAGAAAGAAAGACTTCGTGCAGAGTCGTCAATAAATACTCTCTACAGGAGACATGAATAAGATTGTCTTAATGATGACGATAATCCGGGCGTCAAAGTGTTTAACAGACACATATCGATCGAAAGCGAACGAGCGTGCATCCAAATGATGGTAATTTTAGAGTCTGTATGTGAGTGTTGTTCTTTCTCACACACAAACACATCTGACATGCGTTAGATTCCATATGTAATTGTCATCACGAATTCCACGTGTTTATCCTACTCATATAATGAGAACTCGAAACTTACTAGTATTAGTCATATTAACCATCGGTTTTGTTGAGACTGGTAATGTTGCAGATCCAGATAAAAGCTCATCATCAACTAAATCGGACAACATTTTTTCAATCTGAAATGAATAGAAATAATAATAATAATAATAATAATGATAATAAAGTAAAAAAAAAGCGCATTCTCACTCTAATTCAATTAGATCGGATACCACAACCAACAGCGAACACATCTGGAGGCATTCCTCATTCTCTCACTCTCTATTCTATTTTTTCCTCTCTTTATTAGTCAAGAGGTATGAAGTATGCAAGCCAAGCGAATGAGTCTCTGCTAAATGAGTTGAGTGAGAAACGAGATAAAAGCGGGAAGTTGAAGAGATGATGAATGCAGGACGCCGTCGTCATCGTCTCACAGCTCGTTGATTATTGATACTGCTGCTTGACAACAGTAATAGAAAAACGCAGTGATAACAATAAAATGACGAGTGATAGCACGTTAGTCGATTGTATACACATTTGGATTTAAGATTAAAATCGATCGACTGATGATAATGATGATTCAATGGACAAGCAACATTCGAATAGTATAGAGAAAGAAAGTATAATAACACGGGTAATAATAATACAACCCGAAATAAGAAGAAGAAGAGAGAGAGAGAGCGAGACAGAGATTGTATATGTAGTAAGGGAAGAAATGATGGCATTTATACCCTGCGAGAATGATGTACACATAAAACACTTGCTTTTATATCTTCGGTATTATCTAATGGTATAAGAATTTCAAAATTAAAAGATTTCTATACATAAAGAACATAACTTTTCTTTTTATCGGATCTTAATATATTTCGCTTATTAAATAAAGAAATTCGATTTTATATTACCTATGAAAAATCATTGTTCGTACAAGATGAATGCAAACATCTATACACACACAAATACTTCAATGTAAATAGACGAAAGGTGTTTTATGACAATGACATTACGAATGAATTTCAACAATCATCATTGTCAATAATCGAATAATATATAAAAAAATATATATATGTGTCACTCCCCATCATTTCATAGAAGAAATCGTTTTTAATATTAACACAACAATAACGGGCGCCGTCCATTATGGAAATGCATTCTTTTTCTCTTCTGTCTCTGTCTCTGTCTCTCTCTCTCGAGCGCGCTTGTCAACTGTGAAATATGAAATGTCGTCCATTGTAAAGTCTCCGGATGGTCTGCATTGTGTGTTTGTCGGTCTCTAATAATTGTCGGTCAGGGAATTATAGTTGAATACGAAATAGTTTTGCTTTTCTGTATGCCGACTGTTCTATGTGTCTTATACTATACACTCTCTCAGGAGATACACGTACACAAATCTGTTAATTGATGCGCGATTACATCGAGAAGGAATAAAGACAGAGAGAGAGAGAATTCATTGAATGAAACCCTTTTCGCTCTCTCTCTATCTATCTCTTTTTACTAGTTATGCGCACGCGTGCGCATCTATTTACTCGTATACGCAAGAACAATCTAAGGTCTCTTTGTTCGATCATAATTGGTGGTGTTCGTCGAACATAATCCTCAAGTCCAACCCTAAAAAATATGTCTTTTTTTTTTCTCTCTATTTTTTTTCTTCTTTCTCATTTTTCTCTTTTGGATGGTTTTGGCATAATCAAATAACCATCATCGACATCACAAGCTAGACCAGCAATAACGATAGTAACACACTCAATAATGCTTGTCTTGTCAGAAATCGATTGATGTCGTCGTCAAGATTAGATCGTAGTCGGCCTGTTGTTGACGACTAACTATGCTACAGAAAATTACCATTTAGATAAAAGAGAGAAAAAGAAACGAGCGAGTGTTTGGTTCGTTGAATGATGAACAATCGGAACATGATGCATCAACGACTAGTAATTATCGAGTGTTGTTCTGAACTACTACAAACTTCCGTTCAAATGACAATAAGACGAGCAATTTTTTTTTTCTTTTTTGATTTCATTGGAATAAGATTTCTTTCTTTCTTTCTCTCCTTCATTCTTTTTCTTTTTCGTGCTTATATGAATCAAATTACTAATCACAAATCTCTCTTATTTCTTTAGTTCATTTTATTGTTCGAACGAACAAGCAAGCAAGCAATCCTATCTTCAATGATCATGTCTTCTCGACAAACATGACAACGTGTTATATGTGTGCAAAAGAGCAAACACAATTTGACCAGTTTGACACATGAAGATTGATGAAATAATCATTCATTTATTGTCTTTAATAATAAATAAATTAGATTTTATTAAAGAATATCACGAACAATAACTAATAGAAAAAAAGGAAAGATTTTAAGTTCTATAATATATAAGATTCATTTGATATAATTATTAGAATATGAACATATAATGATCTTCATTCAAGAATTATTCGAATGAATAAATAGATAAAAGATGAATAGTAGAATTTGTAAATGAAAAAAAATCAATAAAATAATACAATTGAGAAAACGATTCTTCATGTTTGAAATATAAATATAAAGTTTTCGTCGTTGAGATTTGTTTGTTTTTTTCACAACTAATAGTGTCACTTTGTGAAAAGTATAAAAACTTTTTTTTGTAAAATCTGAAAATTAAAAGAATATATCACGATTGACTCTTCGTCGATTTCTATATTGACTAGATGGATTTGGTGGTGGTTGTTGTTCGTTCATCATAAATTGTTCATACGTTATACGTAATGCTCGATCCATTAATAAAATCGTTATTATTGTAAGAAATATATCCATTGGACGTATGCGTATTCGATTAATTCCTGTTTGTAATGGATCTATAGAATTTTGAAATGGTATTTCAATTACAAGTAGTTGTTGTTGAGGATAAAATTGTGCATGAGCTTTTCGTACATCGACATTTGATGGAATAGTAAATGTACGTTTGAATTCTTTGGCAACAAAATCAGGTTCTGTATCATCATTTCCATTGATAACTGAATTAGATGTTAATGGTTGAGATAATTGAGGTGGTGCACGTACAACATGTTTACCACGAACAATAAGTCGACCATGTCGAATTGAAACATTTAATTCATTTGGTTGAAAACCATCTACATTCATACGTAAACGAAATAATCTTGAATCATCATCTGAATTAGACGCTGTTTGTGGTAGTGGTTGTTGTTGGATTTGTTGTTCATCTGTATGAACAAAATGTGGCAAAGCTGTCATTGGAATTGGCATAGTTCTTGAAAATATAGTCATTGGTGATGCTAAATAATCTTCTTCAATATCTTCATCTTCATCTTCATCATCGTCCTCATCATCTTCTTCGATATGAGATTGACTGGCTATAACCAAAATAGGATATGGTGTTGGTTGTTGTGTTGGATATAAAAAAGGCATCATCTTAACTTCTTTTCAATCATAAACGTATGATGTAATCGATAAAATATCTCACAACGTAGGTTACTACTGTATATTTCAATGAGAACGGACCATTTACGTGTGATCAAACAAAAAAGAACAAAAAATGACGATGCAAATATATTAACACAGGGCGAAAAAAAAAATTGTCGATGCAAAAAAAAAATTATGTACAACATTACACAGAATAATATTGCATCGTTTATATTAGCTAAATAGCGAAAGAAGAAAAAGTAGATATCATCGATGTACGAAAAGAAAAAAAGACTGTATCATTACCTTGTCCTCGCTATGTGCTTTCACATGTGCTTATGCACATATTGATCATCTTGGCTAGAAATTATTATCGAGAAACAAAATAAATGAGACATCTCATTAGTTAATGAGTTGTACTACTACTACTGATGACAATTGCGCCCATTTCTTAATAGATATCAAGGTTAATATGATAAACAAAAATTCAACAAGGACAGATATTTCAATAAATTAAAAAAAAAACGAAAGTCGAATCAACAAAAACTTATTTATTATAATAAAATAAAAATAAGCTTTTTAATATATATTTACTTATCTACTAAGAATTACAATTATAAAATAAGTTCAATTGTAACTTATATTTTTTACATATCATTAAAAACGTGTATGTGAAATATCGACTCTATTGTTTCGTAAAATTGTAGGTATAGATCGATTCATTGTTTCGTTTAATATTTCGATTGGATTAACTTTATCATTTTCTTCATCTTCATCTGTATGAAATGATCGATTTCGTGTTTCGGGTAAAAAATGAATTAATATTATTTGAATTATTGTAAATGCTGAATAAACATAAAAGGTTATTTTTATATATTCAGAACCTAATGCAACATCAACAACAGGTGCAAGAATAGCACCTATACGTCCACTAAATACAAATATACCATTAGCAATACCACGTGTTGATGTTGGAAAGATTTCTGGAATAAATATCCATGTTATTGATACTGCACCACTTATTGTAAATTTACCTATTTGTGATATTATAATTGTTACGATTGGATAAGATGTCATTGTAAATGGAATAGTAAATACACATAAACATGTAAATAATGAATAAAGTATTAACGAATGTTTTCGTCCTAGTTTTGTTGTTATTAAAATACTTGCTGATATATAACCAAAACCTTCAACAATAGCACCAATGATAATATTCCAATATGGACTAACAACATCACTCATAGCTGCTAAACCATATGAGATTTTAATATATAATAACATTGTAAGAAAACCAATAAATGCACACATTGCTAATCGTGGTAAATGTTGAAGAATAACTTCTTTATTTGTTCGTGATGCATGTTTTGTACTTAAAATAGCTAAACGAGGATCACAAATTAATTTTCTATACAATGGATACCATTCATTATCTGAACGGCCATTTCTTTGTGCGATTTTTCTTAAATATTCTTCAAGTTGATTATATTTCTTTTTTGAAAATAACCAATAAGGTGATTCAGGTACAAAATAAAGATAAGGTAAAATAAGTGCAAAATAACAAGTAATTATCCATTTAAGGCGTAACCAATCTCGAGCAATATAAGCAAATACAGTTATTATTATTTCACCAATAGTAAAACCTATAAGAGCTGAATTACCAGCAAGACTTGTATGAGAAGAAGATGTTAATTCCATAAGTAAAAGAAATACCATTGGATATGCATCAACACTTGAAAAAAATTGATTGATTGCAAGAAGAATAAACCTGAAAAATGATATTTTTATTCCATGAATAAGATTAGAATTATATTGAAAGAGTCTATGTCATCTCGCAATCGTTGAATCTTTTTTTTTTGCTAATATATCAATGCTATTAAAATACAATTTACGTTTAAATCATTATGAAATTAATAATCATTTAGTATATTTGTAAAAATGCAAAGCAATTTATGTCATATTTTATTTAACCGAAAAGTACTATCCAACTTTCTTTTTTCCTTAATTGATAATGTCCTTTCGAAAGTGTGAATCTTCAAGTTTTACATAATAAGAATAATGTTATATTTGATGATGATTTTAAGATTAACCTTCTAACAAAACGAAAATGTCAACGAACAGATGTTTTTCCCTAGGTAAATAGTAATTAATAAAACTTACTTGGTATTAATATTCATTTCTACTGTTTGAAGAATTATTTGAGTAAAACATGGAACTATAAATAATATAATTGTTAATATTCGAATCATTTTTCTTCGTCCAATTTTATCACAAATATATCCACTGAGTAAAACAACAAATCTATATTATAATTATTTATTAATACATATTATAGAAATTTATTTTTCTTACCCTCCAACTTGATACATTGTTGAAAGCCAAGTTTTTTTTAATTTATTTTGACAAACAAAATCTCCTTCTTCAGTAAATGTTCGACCAAAAGTATTTCGATCATAAACAAAACTCGTACAAATTGTATCATTGTAATCATTACATTTTGATATTTTCTGCCATTGATTTATTAAATATTGATGTGTACTATTCTTTGATTCATATTGATCATCATCTAACCATATATTTCCCGGTAAACGACAACGATAAGAATTTTCTGCAACACCAAATACATAATAATATGTTGTTATACCACTACCAATTGTAATTAAATTCAAGAAAATATAATGTATGATTTGATATCTACCTAAATCATTACATTTACGAAGAACATTTTCTAATGAAATTTCACTAGCCATTGATTGAAATGTAATTGAAGATTTGTTTTCTTTTATCTAACGATTGTAATCAATCTTATGATGTTACCTTTGATATTTCGATAAGCTACTTGATTTTTCAACGCAAGAACATGATATAGTAAAAAAAAAATCAAAAATTTCGTACCTAATCCGTTAGTTTTTTTGACATTTTTCAAATATCATAGGTTGGGTACTGTATGCTCTTAAAGAACTTGTTATTTTGATCTCTCAAAATATATTAATTCCCCCTCCCCTGCATATTAGAAGCCACATGATGCCTCTAATAGAGATGCCAATGTTATGCTAGATTAATGATTAAAATACTATCTTATTGAGTACAATTATATGATAACGTATAGTATGAAATCTATTCATTTTGTATCTCTAATGAAAATTGTTTAAAATTTTTTCAAGACGAAATTTTTCGTTAAAATTCTTTCTTGTCAAAATTTATTATGTATGCGAATATAGTCGAAAAGAAAAAAAAAATGGGCAAAAAACCAACAACAACAATATTATAATTAAAAAAGAAAACCACAGACTACATCTAATATGTATCTGACATTAAACAGAAAAACTTTGACAAAACAAAACAAACAATGATGATGACGACTGACTATACAATGGCAATGAATAAAAAAATAGAAGAAAAACAAAAAACATGGGACCTGTTCAAATACTGTATTTTCTATCAGTATATTAAAAGAAATTTTTTTTTTTATTATTAAGATTCTTTCTCTCCATTGCCTGCATAAAGTTTAGCAATATATTGAAATTTTGGTCCCATATTTTTTAAATATTCAAGTTCTAGTTCTTTATCAATATCATTCTGATCTTTTGATGTTATAGTCAATGTTGATAATGTACATTCTTCATTTCGTGCTAATGGTTCACCTTCATAAGCATATTCTTGTAAACTATCATAAGGTGGTTGTGATGGGTCATCATCAATATCACGTATTCGACCTTTAATAAATTCTCCAACATTAATACCATTACTTAAACCATTTGTTTGATTTTTATTTAGATTAGGTTTTGGTGCTGGAATAGGTGGCATATCTTTTCTTATTGCATTTTTTTTCGATGAATCCATTGGATTATTTCCATCGGGAACTGTTTTTAATAATGGTTTACTTTCTGATTCAGAATTTTGTCTACCATTACGAGTTTGATTTGCATTTCCATTTGCTGAAAATACTGGTTTTTTTAATGTTGATATATCATATGTAACAGGATCTTCATCTGGACAACCTTCTTCATCATAATTTATAATATTATCTCGTATTTCATCATCCATACCAAGTATATAAGCTTTTTTCGATTGTCTTTGTCGTGTTATTAAAACAAGTAATAGAACAAGAAGTAATATAGCTATAAGACAGAATATAGTTGAAGCTATTATTTGCCAATTAAATGTTCCAGCTAATGGCATAGCTTTTATTGTACAACGTTCACCTTGCCAACGTGATTTACATTCACATTTTATTGTATCTTCACGAGCTTCATATAAACAATTTTTTGTACCTGGCATATGACATGGATTTGTTATATCAGAACACCAATCATATAAACTACATGTTTCATTTGCTGGATTATATTTATATGTATCTGTACATTGACATTGACCATGTCTCCATGTATTTACACAAAATGCTGGTGAACGACATTGTACACCACGACACCAATTATCAAGATTATCACAACCTTCTTTTATATTTGATTGAAATGTCCATTTCATATCTGACGATGATGAGCCATTTAATAAATCAAGAAGTTGACCATTAAAACGAATATCCATTATGCAACCATCATTAAAATCTGCTGTAACTATTTTATGTACAGCCTAAAAAAAAGAAAGAAAATGTTTAGTTTTATATAATATTGAAGACTTCTATAGATAAAACTGAACTATGTGTAGAAAGGCGAATAGTATATATCGAAATAAATGATTTATTTGTTAAGTGATCTAACAGATAAACATAAATTCACAGTTCTTTTCTTTTTGAATGTCTTAGTGTAGCAATAAAAACAAGAGTGAAGCGAGAGGACCGGTACAATCTCTACTACAGATACTTATACTTTTGAAGAAATACAAGTACAGACGTTTATCTTGTCTTTATTGCAGACTCTTGTAAACTATTCTATTTCTTTCTGTATTCATTTTAGATGATCAATTGACACAAGTATTACAATTTCTACATTGATCTGTTCATCGTATCTTTCTACAAAATAATAAAAATTTCAAACTTACAGAATCAATTCGAGCACCAACATTCAATAAAGTATTAGGAAAATGTTTCCATATAGATTTTCCATAACTAATATTTGAACGATAATATTCTCCATCATCAAGGCGTAAAAATAATCGCTGTCCATAACGATCAAGATAAGCTGTATGCCATCGACCATCATTAACTAATACATGTTTTAAATCAACTAATTGTGTATCTGACTTAGAACCAAATCGAGCTTGTAAATGTCCAGATTTAATTTCCAAAAACATAAATGTATCATCATTATGAAAATCAATCAATGTTAAAATATTATCTGAGATTTCACGTGTACGAAACATTATTTGAAATTTTAATATTTGAGATGAAAACGTTAATTCATTATCAGGTTTATGTTGATGACGAAATGTTGCATATGATGCTCGATCACCTGTCCAAGTTTGTTTATCATATGTAAAATCATAAGATGTTGTTTCCTGAGAACATATTGGTCCAGTTCGACCTGGTTTACAAACACATTGTGCTTGATATAGATCAGCATCACAAATACCATTATTAGATTGACATCCAAGTTTTCGACATCGAAGATCAGTTAGAATACAACCATCGTGAAGATTCACTGACTGACCACTGTGTAAATCAACATGAAGATCATATAATTCATCAGCAAAACGAAGATTACGAATACAACCTAAAAAATAGTTGTTTAGAGGGTAGGAAATAAAAATAGTTTTATTCTATTTTACCTCTAAAATTTCCCATATATTCCATTGGTAATTCTTGTTGATTAGTTTGTTGTTCTTGTAAAGCAATTCCACCTAATTGTAATGGTTGATTTGTACTAAAAACATCATCTTCATTGAATTCAATCATAAATCGACATTCACTAAATTGTTTTGATATACTTGTTAATGGACAATAATCAATTAAAATTTCCAAAATATGTTCAATTGTACTAATTTGTCGTATTTCAATCATATGCCATTTGCCATCAGCTAAATTTGCACTTGTTTTTAAATGTCGTCGAATATTTTGTCCAGTACCAAAATTTAAATCAATTACAAGACGACCATTTAATAATTGTAATGAAAAATAATCTTCAAATTGTTTTCGTTTATTTAATGGTCCATTGTATAATATTGAACCATTTGGTGATTGAGTTAGAAATTCAATTGATAACATCCATGTATCACATGTTGTTAATGGTTTATACCAACCATAACCATTTCCTAATAAAAAAATTAAATGAATGATACAATGTCTAATACCAAGAAGGAAAAATGAAATATTTATCAAAATAAAATCATATTCAGTAGGGCGTATTGAGATCAATTTATACTTCTAGCTGTCTATGTAATAAAATGGTTATATATTGATGTCCTATTCCCTAATAGAAAATGAAGTACTAATACTAGGCATGTAGCGAACCCGAACTGAAGTTCTGATTTAGGTTCGAGTCCAGTACGTATTCCTCGAGTTGAGTTGTTAGTCAGTATTCAGAAAGTTTCATAAGTATTTTCTGAATAACTTTAGACGATATGAAGAAGCTCTGAAAATTATAGGGTTCGGGTTCGGCATTTTTTTAAGTGTTGAATTCTTCTTATCTAACAATTGCAAACACGTTGTGTTGTACGCCGAACTCGAACCTGAACCCTAGCGTTTAGGTTCGCTACATGTCTAATCAATACAACATCCTTTTCATTCAAAAGAAGGGTTTTATCTAGCGAGTGGGTCGTGCCCACCCGCCATTTCGATTCGCACACTCGAAAGAAGAAGCCTTTGTTTTTACCATCAAATGAAATAGTTGTTAGTTGACAACGTTCACCACCATTATATAATGAATTATCGGGGCATACACATTTTATCTGATGATTATCTCTTGTTGGATATCCTCCATTTAAACAATATTTATGTGTTTTTAATAATTCTTTTTGTTTTTCTTGTTGAATATGAATATCTTTATCACATGTACATTGAGCAATTGTTTTTAAATTTAAACCAATAAATGATGTTTGATTTGCATTGATTATATAGGGTTGTTTAGATTGTACATCAATTTTATTTAAGCAACCAACTGTAAAACATTGTTGATCAGAATTTAAACATTCATCGATACCAATTTGACTTATATTAAAATATTTTTCAAGTTTTGAACGTGATATTTCAACAAGACCATTGATTTTTATTTTTGATAAATAATCACTACCATGTAAAGCATAATAAACATCGATTGTACGAAATAAATTTTCATGATCTTGAATTGAAAAAACATCAATTAGACGAGCTTGAGGATTTATTTCAAGTATTAAACGTTTAAATATTGCTAAAAATGATTCATCATGAAAACGTGTTTCAATAAATTCTTCTGCAGTTATATCTTGAAGACGAATTGATGCAGCATTTTCTAATGCATCCGATGGTAAATCATGTAAACGAAATTCAATATAAGACGTTTTAGAATCACTTTGTACCCATTGTGGATGAGTATCACGAACTATAACATCATATTTATATGGAACATCTTAAAAGAAAATCAAATTAGATTTAAAATTATCAAACAAAAAAAAATTTTATACCATATTTAATTGTTGCATTATTATTTTGTGTTGTTAAATAAATAGCACCTGGTGTACGTGATGTTTGCATATTTTTATCAACTTGTAAGAAATTATTATCATCCGATGCTTGAAGTTCAAAGACTTTATTATGTAAATCCCAATCATCTTCATCATCAGTAAATACAGTACCAAGATAAATACGTGAAGTAGATAAAAGTTTACTTAATGCATGTTTATAATCATAGATATCAATAGATTTATAACCACTATTAAATGGATTATCATTGATATCTTCAACAAGAACACGAAGTAGATTTATGCCTGATTGTTCACCATCTGACATCCAAATTGGTAAATCATAGTATTTCCCACAATAACGTTGATTTTTATATTTATCCTCTTTCGGACAAAGTTCTTCTCGATCAAGTTCTCGTAATGTACTAAGATTACCACGTGGTTTACCATCACCATCATATTGAATATCAAGACGAAATTTTGGATCACCTTCTTCAGGCCATACATTATTTTTACCTGAAATTAATAATAAAAAAATGATTATTCGATGCTTATGAATGAATTTTTTGAGATCCTGTCTTTTTTCAAAAAAATATAAACTTACCAAGTTTCATTTGAAATCTATTTTTTCCATTATTTTGATCATCGGGATCATTCATTTTAATTTCTAAAATTTTTCTTCTTCCTGTATGTTCAGGTACACGTGGAGCATAATTTTCTGCTAAACGTGGATAATTATCATTAACATCAACAACATTAATAACTAATACAGCACGACCAACTAACGGATTCGAACTTTGATTATTAACAGCTTCAATTGGTAAACTAATTGTTGAAGATTTTTCTCGATCAAAATTTTTCTTTAAATATATTCGACCATTAATTGCATCTATACGTAAATGTTGACGATTTTCATATTGTGAACGATCTGGTGGAATACGATAAATAAATTCTTTATTGATTGGACTAACATCATTATCAGTTGCATGTACACGAAGAATTTCTTGTTCTAATGGTGTTTCTTCACTAATATTAGCAAAGTAAACCGATTGAGAAAAGACTAAGAAGGAGAAATAAAAAACATTTTGTTGTACTGCTCGTTAATCTTTTTATTCTTACCTGGCACATTATCATTAGCATCTGTGACAAACACTGTTACATTCGCATAATCAGACATTCCGCCATTTGTTGCTTTGATTTTTAAAAGAAATTTCACTTGATTATCTGGTGGATCATAATTAACTGGTTCAAGAAGAATAATTGTGCCTAGAAATATAAATGACAAAGATTAAATAGAAAGAAAGAATTTTCGATTAAACCTTTTTCAGCTAATGCAGTTTCTTTGAAAATAAAATATCTCGGTTTTGAACAACGTGTCATTTGGTCATTTGATAATTGACATTCTTCAATAATTTCATATAATGAATGTGTATTGACACCAATATCATCATCTTCTGCTCGAACTTCTGTAACAAAATCTCCACGTTGTGCTGTTTCAGATATTTGTGCTTGTTGATTTGAAGGTTTAAATCGTGGCTAAAAATTATGAAAATAGAAAATTTTATTTCAATACAAACAAAAATTTCTCTTACTGGCATATCATTCACATCATCGATAATAATCGTAATTTTTAATTCTTTCGATTGTAAATTTCCTGATTGATCACCTGAATCTCTTGCAATAATTGACAAATTATGATGTGGAGTTTTTTCTCGATCAAGATAATTATCGACATTAAGATAAATATCCGCTGTTATCTCATCAATACGAAATACATCAGAACCATCAATAGATTTTGTATTTAATGTTAATGCATATCGTGTTGTATTTTCAGATAATTTATCATAATCAGTAGCTTTTATTCTTAAACCTTCAACACGTGTTCCTTTCGGAGCATCTTCAGGTATATGTCCAATAGGATCAACATCAATAAACATTGCTAAAAAGAATATTTATAAAAATCAAAAATATTGATAGAAGAAAATTAAATCTTACGAGCTAAATCATTAATATCTTTGACAATAATTTTTAACCATGATGCATTTTTCTTTGAACCCATATCTTCTCTGCCATCTTCATCAGCTGCAATTATAGTTAATAACCATTCATCAAAACCATTTGGTGGATCACGATCAAGTTCTTTTTTCAAATGTATTGTTCCATTTAATGGATGAATTTCAAAAAATTGTGTATATAATGGATTTGATGATGTTAATGTATAACGAATAGGTAATTTTAATGGACGACCAAGATCTGGATCAATAGCTTCAACTTTATATATAACTCGTGATGTATAAGGTTGTTGAGTAGAATATCCATCATAAGAATCATCAGGATATTTTGGTGATGTTGATACTCGTTTTTTATTATTTTCTTTTTGTTTTTTATTCATTTGAGTATCACGTTTTAATCTTGATGATTGACGTAATACTATTTGATCATAATCAAATGATTGTCGACCTTCTTCCACAGTAATTTCTTTCGGTAGATTTAGAAAACGTGGCGGATTATCATTAGCATCTTCAACAATAACTGTTAGAATTGTTCGAGCACGATGTTCATTATTTGAATCACTAACTTGAACCTCAACACTATGTTGTTGAACACGTTCATAATCGAGTGCAGAAGCTAAATAAACTTCACCAGTATTTTCTTTAACAGCAAATGCCGATGCTTCTTGTTCATTTACAATTGAAAATGTTAAAATATCATCTGTATCAATATCACTAACATTTAAATGAAATATGGTAGTTCCTGGTTCAGCATCTTCCATAACTTTAGTAAAATATGGTAAGTTATTAAATTGAGGCTAGAAAAAAAACGAACATTCATAAGAAAATATAAACAGTGTTTTATCTAGCGGGTGGGTGGCGCCCACTCGACTGATATAACAAAATTCAAGTATATTAAAATATAACTTACCGCATTATCATTTCTATCTAATACTTCAATAATAACTGGTACACGATGTTCAGTAACACAAATTTGTATCGTTGGATTAGCATCAGCACCAGATGATAATGAAGATGATTGAGATTGGGATTCTTTGGTATTTTGACCACTACATCTATCTGATGGAAGTATATTTTTAGCAAATACATCAAATACGAAACGACGATCAGCTGGATTATCATAATCAAATTGTCGTTGAACACTTATCCAACCTGTTTCAGGATCAATCGAAACGATTCCTTGACATGATAAAGAATTTGATAATGGACTATTATAATGATATTGAAGATTTTGTTGATTACCTAAGAAACAAGATTTAAAAAAATTCTTCTATTAGAAAATGTCTTACCATCATTTGGACATCTTATAAAATAAGTTGTATTTCGATTTTTCGGATCAATATCTTTATCTTCAGCTTGTACACGTAATAAATTATCTTTGACTTCATTTTCATAAATTTGTGCACGATATGAACTTACATTAAACATTGGAATATTATCATTTGAATCAACAATTTCAATTTCATAGATACTTTCTAATGACAACGCTTCCATAGCAGCATTTTTAGCACGAATTTTAAATTGATATCGTGTACAACCTGTTGGTGGATCAGCATCAATTGGTTGATAAATAACTAAACGTGCAATATTACGTCCATTTTCATCTGGTGTTAATAAAAATGGTATACGAGGTTTTTCACTAGCTAATGCAGCATTTGAACATGTCCAATTAAATGGTTCCATTTCGAAAATAACTTTTTTCGTTGAATCATTTGCAATTGATGCTTTAAATGTATCAATAACAATATTTTGTTGAGCTAATTCAACAACTTTCATAACACGTTGAAATGTTAATGCCGTTTCAGGTGCCCATACAGGTGGTTCGAAACCATCTTGAGATAATTGAAATTGTATCTTCCGTTCGGAACATTTCGGAGGACCATCATCAGGAGAATCGCATACTTGGACAACAAGACAATATTTAATTTGTAAATTTATCGGATTATTTACATTTGATGAACGTGTCGAAATAACACCCGATTGTGAATCAATTACAAAATATTCAATACCATTTGAACAATCATCACGAGATTTAAGAGAAAAATGTAATAGAGCATTTTTTCCACTATCTTCATCTTTAGCACGAACAACAAGTACAGGATAATTAAAATTAACACGTTTTTCCATTTTTATTGAAATTAAATCATTATCACGTGCTGGTGATGTTATAACAGGATAACTAAAAAGATTTATAGAATATATAATTGATTTAGATCTAAATATATATCGAAACTTACTGATCATTAATATCTTCGACAGTTATTTTTAAAATACAATGTGTTGAACGTGGATTTGATGGATCTTTATCTTGTGCAAATATAGTCATTGTATATTCACTAAATCCAGATTTTAAATGTTTTAATTTCTTTTTATTTGTAACTAATCCCGTATCAGGATCAATAGAAAACATATCAGAATCTTGTTGGGGATCATTTGTACCCTTTAATGAAAATTGTATTTCACCATTTAAACCTCGATCTTCATCTGTCGCATTTATTTTTATTATTTGGGTATTTAATGTTGCATTTTCACGTATTAATGCAGTAATTATTCCTTGTTCACATTGTTCAATACGTGGCTAAAAAGAATAGGAAAAATTAATTTTTCAATGATAAAAAAAGGAATTACTGTATGATCATTAACATCATATATTGTTATTAAAAGTTGTGCTTGTGATGTATGACCAAGACGATCTGATGCTTGTATTGTTAAATTATAGAATTCTTTATCCGGCAAAAGTGCTTGTTCAAGTATAACTCTACCACCACCTGGACTTGTTATTATTCGAAATGGATTAAATTCGGATGTGGATAAAAATTGTACAGTAACTGAATCATTATATTCAGGATCAACAACATCAACAAAAACAACTAAAGAAAAAAAAAAAAGATATAATTTCTTTAGAAACTTTTTCATCTATATTTACTAAATGTTCCTCGTTGAGTATTTTCAGCAATAGTCTTTTGTACTGGATTTTCTTTAAAAACTGGCGGCTAGAAATTAAAAGAACAAAATCTATAGAGAGATATAATTCTAAAAAATAAAATTTACTTCATCATTAACATCCGTAATTGTAATATAGATTTGTGCTTCAGATTGTAAAGATTGCGGTTGTCCATGATCACGCGCGATGATTTTTAATTTATATTGTCGATCTAATGGTGATAAAGATTCATAATCAAGACGTTCTTTCGCAATAAGATATGCTTGAATATTATTTGATGTTGATACACGTGTATCATTAAATATAGCAAATTTTCCATATGGATCAATTAAATCAAACGTTATATTAGAATTTGGTGTATTTCGTGCATCATCATCAGTAACAGTAAAATTTATAATTGGTGTATTTAATGGATAATCTTCCGATATTTGAGGTGTATAATATGTTTGTTTAAATGTAGGAACTTTATCATTGATGTCAAGAACATATATTTCAATCTCAACATGAGATTGCATTTGCCAACCACTTAATTCTTTGACAATACCTAAGATTGGAAAGCAAATCAAACATTAAATTTCTTGTCATTGATAGTTTTCAATTCAAGGAAATATAGTCAATATTAAAAATAAGTAACGCTCGTCCGAAGACTCGCTTAGCTCTTTCTCGTAGAAATGCATTTTCTTCACATTTACTGGAAAAATCGGGTTTCGATGTTTTTTTGACCTCTGTTCACCCAACAGACATCCGATTCGAAGTCCCCGCATTGAAATGTCTTTTCTGGAAAATCGGTCTTCGATGTTTTTTTGACTCTGCGGACAGACAGGCAATCAACCAGACAATTTATCTCTACGAGAAAGAGAATATTTATGAGGATCAATTTAACTTGATAGTAATTCTAATGACAATTTGTATTACAATCTTGGTCTCAAATTGAAATATACTTTCATTTCGAATATATGAAATTTCTTCTTTTTACCGACAATCGATATGTCCGTAAGGTAATTTTATAATAATCACTTAAAACCTAATTTCTATTTTTAAATTGAGTTTATTACAAGAAAACTACGCTCAAGTATATATTCAATTACAAACTAATACTTTCTTTTTCCTCACGTAAATAATCCTATTTTTCTATTATAATGATTTACCTGTAAAAAATTTTGTATTATTATTATGTTGATCAGAATATCTTAACATTTTCAAAATTTTTATTGAACCTTCTGTTTCATCAATCTTAAATTCATACATATCACCACCACCACCACCTATTGTTCCTGATTGAAGAATTGTTTGTGTACCACCTGTAACTGGTTGTTGTAGAAAATATCTTAAATTATCACTTGTTGTTGAAAATGATTTTGCTCTTATTGTTCCAATAATCGTTGATGGTTGTGTATATTCACTAACATTAAAGATATATTTTTCTTGAAAAAATTTTGGTTCAAAATGATTTGTATAAATCATTAGATGTGCTTCATTTGAACGCATCATTTTTGAAACTTGAGAATTTAAATCAACGGCTCGTACAGTTAAATTATATGTTGGAGAATTTAATGGTTGATTTGAATGTGTTGTTAATGTTCCATCAGATGATAAATGAAAAAGATTCTTATCACCATGAACAATTTCATAGGTTAATTTCGAACTTGTATCAGGATCAAATGCTTTAAAACGAAAAACAGGTGTTTCAGGTCGTGCACTTTTTTCAACATAACCAAAATAAGTTCCATATTGATATGGTTCATCCATAATCCAACGTGGTAATTCATCATTAACATCATCGATAATTAATTGTATATCTTCTGTTTTATTAACACGTGTTAAATTCATTCCACCATTTTGTTGTTCTAATATTAAACAATGAAATTGAAATGTGATTGTTTGAAATAATTCGTAATCGAACGGACGTAAAACAAATAATTCTCCTTGATCATTTATTCGAAGACGTTCACGTAAGAAATTTTCATATTTAGTTGGAAATTGAAATGTTTGTTCTAAATGATCATTTGTTGTTTGTCTTCGACAATATTTTATATATGATATTGAACCAATATAAGATTCATTAAAGCGAAGTGTTAGACGAGATGGTGGTTGAACAGATTGTTGACGACGATGACGAATTGATTGCGTCTGTAAATATAATTGAAACATTCTCATCAAAAAATTATGGTTTCAGAATATTCGAAGTCATAAAATTAAATTAACCCTTTCAATCCCACGCCTCAACGAATGGACAAAGTTTCTTAATAACCTCATATCTAATAAGAGTAATGCATATTGTCAATATTTTCATCCGAACTTTTTACAGCCATTTTCGATCTATGTCCCTACCCCCCTCATCCGGGGAAGGTAAATAAGGGTTTTGGTCATTCCCGTAGGGTATCGGTCATAATTCGATCGAGAGCTGTCAGAAAAGTAATCTATGGAATAGCACTAGGCATTATTTCTAACTTGATTCCAACATAGAAAACCGAATTATTTTGCATGTCGCAAGAACGCATCTTCTCCTGTTAGGATACTGATGGTACTCCAAAAAACCAGTAAGTCTAATACCCGAGAGGGCTTGTTAAGTTTGTAGCTTTTACATAGATATAGGTACCGAAGTCCGCTCTATATTATAGAGAAAGCCGCATCTCAAAATCTGTTGGCGTTCATGAGTTATTTGAAAATTACGAAACTTGAAAAAACCGTACTAAATTTAGTACAGTGGAACTGAAAGGGTTAGGACTATTCTATTTTTAGATTGCGGTTTTTTTCTCTCTCTCTCTCTGTTTCTACAGCAAGTGTTATGTTCATAGTTAAAAATATAAATACTTCAAAGACCTGTCAAAAAGAACATTTCATGTCACTTATTTGTTAATTGAACTTCAATAGTAACAATTATTGTTTCTTTACTTTCAAGACTTGTATTGAAAAATTATAAATATAGAACGTGCCAAAAAAAGATTTTCCTGTCAAATGCCGATTATAGTCAATATTATTATAGATTAATTGAAGAAGAAAGCGAATATTATCTTTCATAACGGAAATTAAAGTCATATCTTGACAAAGAAAAGTTATAATTTGCAATACTTTCAAAAATGTCTTCTTACTCACTCTTAAGAGAGATCTGTTCATGTCATGTAATACTTCATCATACAATATCGAACAATTAGAATTACTTCCTTATTTTAATTAACTTAAGAATATATCACGCAAATCATTTTAACTATTCCCATCGATGATTATAATTTTTTTTCTCTTTTGATGATTATCATATTAAGTTTAGATAGCGAAGAAAAGAGCTTACCAAATTTATATTGGATTCTTGATAATAAAGTCTTTTTCGTCGTTCATCGCCGATTCTATTAATCCAATCCATATCTGACTGCTTGATGGAATTAGTCTGACAAATTTGATCAAATAGAATTTTAGCATATGCATGTTTTATTTTATTTGATATATCGTAACATTTAATAAGTATTTCTTTTAAATTCGGACATTCATTTTTTGAAGATATTTGTCCTGTGATTTGATTTATATTTAATGGAATAGATGTATCAACAAATTCATAATTGATAAATGATGATGATGATGATAAACATTCGATATTTTTAAAACGATATATAGAAAATGATATTGGATCAAGATGATAGATTGGTGATGTAAAACTAATATCATTTGATGAATTGATAATTGTATAATAAAGTTTTAAAATCGATGACTAGAAAGAAAAATATGAAAAACCCATATATATGTTCATCTGTGTTATTTTTATATAAACATCGATCAGACAAATTAACCACTCTGATATATTTTTTCTCAGTGAACAAATAAGTCTGTCTAGTATGGGCCAACTTTGCGTGTAGACTATACACTGATGTGACATCGTACAATTTGATTGTATCATAGTTCGAAAAAATAAAAAAGAATATTTCTTACTTGTTTTCGATTAATTGTACAAAGAAGTCGTTGTTGATTAAAAATGAAATTTTCTATTGTTTTATTTAATATTAAATCACCATATTTTTGATCAATATCAATATTTAATTGATCATTAGTTTGTTTTAAACATTGTAGAAATTCATTATATCGACTTGGTTTTGTTTCTTCCAATAAAACAAAACCACGTTGAGCATTATGCGGTAAAATTAAAATATCTGTATTAATAGTTAATAATTCTACTAGTGATGGGATGATTAAAAATAAAACTATTAAATTATTTAGATGATGATAATACATTATTTCTAAAAAAGAAAACGAGAAAAAAAATCAAGTTCACTAACGATAGACTATTGAACACTTGTAAAGTATGTTGAGAGAAGAATAGAAGGATATGTGTCTGTTCTGTTCAATGATGATGAACCAGTTCTGTCCGTACGTTCAGTCTCATTCGCCATCCCACAAATTGAGCCGGTCATGAAGAGAGAAGAAAAAAAAAGGAGAGGGTAGATATACATATATAGTTACTGCAGCCGCCGTAAAATGATCGATTTTTATTGTCCGAACGAGTATGAGTGAACGAACGAATGGTAGGGGCGCAAGAAAAAGGAAGAGACAAGGACGGCAGCACGAACATACATATATATATACACACATACATACATACATACATTTGTGTCCGACCCTCAAGAGTCAAATGAACAGACGAGAAGGAACGAGAAAGCATCGCCAGATGGTCAACTCAGTGTTAGATTTGTCTTTATAGTATGAGGATGTATGTTTTAACAAATAAAAAGCTAAAAAACATCATATAAAAGGAAACAGATGACAACGAAGATAAGTATAAGATATCATCGAGATTCTCTTTCAAACAATTTTACATCTTCTAATATAAACAGATCAAACATTTGTGTGTAATAACCAAAAGTAGAATAGCATGAGTAATATGTGATATGATTTACAAGAGAGAGGAAAAAAACGATATCGCAATTTAATTTATAATAATCCAACGTATTTTAATTGAAATAATCATTGCCAGAAGGAATAACGAAAAACCTTTCAAATAATAATAAAAAAATATTTTTCTTTCGAGTATAAATCGATTTTTTTAGTATGTTTTACTTATTCTGTATGTCTGATGCCCTTTAGTGCCGAATGTTTGAAGTATATAGTTCCGACTATCACACCTCGTTCAATCATTTATAGTATTCTATTGTCCTCACCTCATCATATCAAAAGCATTCGGGCGTCAAACACAAACAAGAGACAATGACCATATATAAAACTCTCTCTCTCCCTCGCCTTTTTCTTTCTTACGCGAACGTATACGAAAGCTTGCTGTTGAACACATTAATAGTAAAAAAAAAAGTCGTCTATACTTTGCATTTACTCTAACGACAACGAGAAGAAGAAGAAAAAGAAGAAGATAGAGAACAAAAAAAAAGAGAGAAAAACCTCTATATGTTGAATACAAGAGAACGAGTTCCATCGTGTATATATATATATATATATATAGATGAACAGTGAACGTTCAGCAACGTCAGGATGAACTTTTGTGCAAGAAAGAAAGAAAGAGAAGAAAAAAAAATGCAAAGAATAGAAGGTCATGAACGCAAGCAAACACAAGCGACAAGAAAAGTTATTCTGTAGTAAGAAGATATAGCGCTTCTCCAATTACGAATAATGACACTCAGACATCGATGGTAGTCGACACGCGACACAATGAATACTACAATAAATGTATATCTATTGAAGTCCAAATCTTTTTAATGCATTTTATTTTTTGCAATAAATATGAAAGAGAATAATTAAATGTCATTTAAGCAATTCTATGCTCATCTTTGACCCGTATCAGAATAAACAAATTGTGATAGCAGCGGGGAATAGATGTTAATAGCTGATGGGCATAAAGAGGCCATAATAAAAAATGACTTTCCCAATGTAATCAAAGTTACAACCTGTTGGGAAAATAAATTAAAGATGATGATAAGAAAAAAAAGAAGAACGATGGCAAATATTCTATTTGTTGCAGCCGAAATGTTATTTTTAATTAAGAATATCATTTTAGATATTTGATTTTCATTGTGCAAAAATCAATAGAGAAAAAAAAAGAATAATAAATGTAATGTAAAAGTATTGAATAATAAAAGTATAAACTCAATATTTCGATTGAATGAACACATTACAATATTTCGAGAAGAGTGAATGATTTCTCATGTATTCATTTCACTATATTTTCGATTAAAATACTCGAAGAAGACCTATTCAATTGGTTACACAAGTGAATAGAAAGCAAGTGACTTTGTCGGGTTGTTTTTATAAAACAGATGAATAATCATCTAGAAGACAGAAACTGTCAAAATGACAGACTATATAAAAAAAGAAAGAAAATTTTTTAGATCAAGTCATGTTCATAAGACTTCTAAAAATATACTATTTAACTTTATTTGAATGAAAATTTGATTGCATATCAAGATAAAATAACCTTGTATATCTTTGTCTGTCATGCATCGTTGAATATAATATATTACAAATTGTCAACTTTCTAACGATATTTTTAATCGAAATCGAAACAAAACAAAGAAAAAATTTCGTTTTTTTTTAAATTTACACTTCAATTAAAGTTATTGTATCTGTCTCGAATGACGAAACATATTTAATCTTGATTGTTCAATCGTTGTTTTTACTTCAGTAAAACTTGTTCGAATATGCGGCCAAAAAATATCAAAATATGACCATATATAGATAAATAATTTTGCTAAATAATTATCAACATAATCAATTAAAGGCAAATGAATTAATATAAATTGTATAAAACGATAGATTATCGGAAAAGCAACTACTAATGTTGATACATATGTTATCAAAGCAAGTGACATAATTAATAATAAAGAATTACCATAACGAATAGAAACATCAGCACCGACTGTTATACTTGTGGATAATGATATTAGAATTGCAAGAATTTCTAAACCACGTTCTAATAATAATCGACCAATTAGTAAATAGCTTAATAAAGATAGAATTAATCGTGGGAAAATATTTATTGGAAGAAACATAAGTAAAGAAATAGTAATTAAGATATTACATAAATGTAATATAAAATATTTTGATGAGTCATGAATATAAGTAATGCGTAAATATTGTTGATTAAATTGAAATGTTTGTTGATTAATTTTTTCTCGATATTGTTTTAATTTTAATCCAATATCATTTGCTGATTTAATTGTTAAACGACGTAATATATGATATAATAATGGATAGATTAAAGCAAAATAAAACGTTAAAATCATAATAACAAGAAAATATTTATAAATAAAATGATCATGAGCACGTCGAAATAAAATATCTATACTTAAAATAAATGATGAGAATAAAAACATAATTGTATTTGGTTCAATTGCTATAAAACGTATACAATGTGTATAGAAATAAATCGGTAAAAATATTATAATTGATAATATTATTAACCATGATACATTACATAACAAACAAATACGAAAAACTTTGTATGTTAAATAAATTGCAATAAATAAATTAACAAATTCACTATAAAATTGTTTATAATTACTATTTGTTTCAACAAATGTTCGAAAATTTAATGATTTAATATTTTGTATAAAATCTTGAATTGAATTACTAATTAAAAGATTATTGAGAAAAGGAAATAAAAATGTTGTTAATAAAAGTGTTAAAGGAATATTTAGTGCTGATTTTATTGGTATAATATAATATTGTATTATAATTGCAAATAAAAATGGATAAAGATCTTTATCAATAGAATCAAGTATATGCCATAATGTTATTGTAACAAGAATCGTTACAGCTACTGAAATACATAAATTAAAACTAATACCAAAAAATAAATGAGAATAAACTTCATAACCACAATAAAGTGCTGGACCAATTGTACCATAAGTTAACATAAAACGAATACTTTCAATCGGCCATAATTTTTGATCAGATTCAAATGTCCATATTGATGGTAAACTTTGACGAAGCTTTGTACTACAAGGACGAAGAATTTTATCAGAAAATATATCAATAAATGAAAGCCAAACTTGTGTAAATTTATGTATTATAGGTAAAACATAAATAAGAAGAAGTGGTATAATATACCAATAATTGAGAAGAAGAAAAAATATACTACTAGTTAACCATATGAATGTATGTCGATAACGGTATCTATATGCGATTTGTGAACCAACTGCTAAGCTAACGACTGATGCCATTAATTTAAGTAGAATTTGATTTTTATAAGCTCGACGCATTAAATTTTTTGCATAAAGTTTTAAAATTGCAAATGGTCCAACAATTGCATACATAAATAACATAAGCAATGAAGTCATATTGCTCTTTATTTTCCTACGTTGTGATGCAAATGTTTGTTGCTTCCTTTTTTTTAATATATACCTGCTTATACACCCCGACACATGTGTATATATATGATTTCTCCCATCAACAGAACGAAGAAGAAGAAGAAGAGAAAGGGTGCATTGCGGCAAATGACGTTTATGGTTACATAGTCACAAACGTGTGACGTTATGTATATATATTTATCCAGAAAATATTCTGTTTTTAAATTTATGTAAATAAAAAATTACTTGGTTTCCTTATATTTTCTTCTGTGTATTTATAAATAAGTATATTCTTTTATATATATATATATCAAATAAAGAAATTATAAAAACAAAACGAAAAAACAATTATATATATGTATATATTTTTTCTCATTCTAAGATTTTAGTTGTTTATTTTTTTGATATGTGACAAACATTAATTGTGTTTTAGTTGATAGTAAACGTCGTTCTAAATATTCAATATCTCGTTCAAGTTCATCTTCTTCATTCATATTTGACATTATTGTATGCATTGGACTATTACTTAATGTTGAATTGAATGCTGAAAAAAAGGATAGATAGATTAAATCGATATATATTTATCTTATATTTACAATCATTATAATCCAAAGTTTTATTTTTATCCATCAATAAAAATGTTTTTGTCATTGCTAATTCAATTTTTAATTCATTTTGTCGATGTTTTAATTGAGAAATACGTTGTTGACGATGAGATTTATCACGAAGCTATTATAAAAAAACATATGTATTGAAGATAATTTTACTTTGTTTTCTTTTGCTAATGTAAAACTTACAACTGGACTACTCCATAATGCATTTATATTCGGACGACGTTCTTCTAAAAATAATATACAAGAAAATTTTTTTGATGAAGTGATTTGTTTATTTGTTATTTCAATTAATCGAATGTACTCTGCTGAAGAAATTTTATTTACCATTGATAGTTTTATCAAAAACGAAATACTACGCAAAAACTCATTATTTTAGAAATCAGTTACACATAATATACCGTTTGCTTTGTCTGCGCTATTTATTAAATAATTAATTGCATCGCGTGATGTTTCTTGTTGAAACGATCAAAAGAGAAGACTTTTTTATTTTTCTTTGCTGTCGTCGCGGGCTCGCATCTCTTGATGATTGCTGCTTGATTTTCTCATAGTAGTCAGCACAGCATCTACTAATATCGTGAGACAAATTCTTTCTTTTCTTCGAGCTAGCAATCAACTAGTTTATGCTTCGAATAACTTGTTAATTTTTATTTGGAATTAGATTTCAGCTTTTCGAAAAATCTGTCAAGCAGTAAAGATCGCAAAAGACTCTTATGAAACTACAGAATGTTTACTTCACTGCGTATGAAGTTATAAATAGAAATGAGAAATAACAGAGCAACATAGAAAGAAAAGGCCAACGTATACATTTCTGCGGAGGCGAATGTACACGAAAATAAATCGAAAATGCTATTGTCTGATAGAAACAAATCGGTTTGAATATGTCAAAACCTTATCTGAATGATTCATCAACCTCACAAATCGATTTACTGAGTTAATGTGCATTATTTTACTATAAAACATTAGTTTTACAATTAAATACCTTCATCCGCTATAATCCGTTGATAAAAACACGTATTGCAACGAATTAGAAGGATTAATGTATTATTTAATTAAGCTCATTAAAATTTTAATGTATCCGAACGCATTAGAATCTCCATGCGTTACATTCATTTACGTTAGTTAATTACAATATATTTATTTTATGATCGCTTCAAGTCACAACATTATACTGTATTTTATCAGATTCTAGAATCGTCCTTTTCTACCGTATTTTAAGCATAAAAAGTTACAAATTAATTGATAACTACTGCCAAAAAACAGAAATTCGTCTCGCACGAAAGGATGTATCTTGCAATTAACTCTTTCATTAAGGAACAAACTAGATCAATTTCGAATATATTCTTTCAAAGTATTGAGTGAGAATATAATTTAAATTCAAACCTTTTCGTATTGATTTATTTCTTAATTTGACTGGATTATTATCATTTGTCATAATTATTGGTATAGATGCTATCATTTCTTCAAGTGCTGTATTACTCATTGATTCATAACCACTTGAACTAGCACGTCCGGATGCTGATGATGCTGTACTACTTGTTGTTAATGGCATGAGATCATCATGTGAATCTAATGTTACTCGTAACGGTGAAATTAATGGTGTCGATGGTGGTGAATCAATAACAATTGATATCGGTTGTTGCTGTTGTTGTGAATTTGATGATGAACGTAAACCGAATAAACGTTGAAAAATAGATGGACGAGTATTTGTTGTAGGGCGATTTGTATCCGATAGAATTTTCGATTTTTTTGATGGTAATATAGAACGACGAGGTGTTTCAGGCGTAGAATTTAATGGTGTTCGTACTTGACGATTTTTAGATTTAATTACAGGTGAATTTGGAACTGATGAACCGGCTGATGAAGGTGTAGGAGGATGAAACCAATTAAAATTTTCTATTGATTGATTATGACTTAAAATAATAAAAAAGCAAAGAAAAAAATGATTTTCTTAAGCAAAAAAATTTAATCTTACGAAAATAATTTCTCAAAACGTGTTGGTGAAACAATTCGTGATAAACGTTTAGCTCTTTCATCATTTGACATTGATGATGATAATTGATCAATACGATTCAATGATTGTGTTAAACTTAATTGATCAGTATCAGTTTGATTCGGTACAATAGGTGACGGAATCAATAGTGTTTCAAGTGTCTTTTCTAATGCTTCCATATCATCATTTAATTTATTTGTACTTAATCTTAAATCGATTTTTGTTGGTTCTGTAGTTAACAAAGGTTTTGTTCGTGGTAATGTTTGATTAGAACGAAATGGAAGTAATGAGTGATCTTTAAATACAGGTAATACAGGTAAATGACAATGAGAACTAACAGTTGATTCAGTATCAAAATTTCGAGATGATACTTCATTATTTTCTTGAGATATCAATGTTGATGATAGTAGAGGACGTTTAGGAGAAAAAAAAGTTGATCGAGGTTTAGATTTATATTGACGAGAAGAATTTGATCGATGTTTAAAGTTTAATTTTACAGGAAGAAGTTTTGATGAATTAGAACAAAACTCCGGTGGACCATCGATCCATATTTCAGTTTTCGAATTCGTCGAACTTAATGGACCATCAATCCAAATTTCATCATTATTACGATTCGTAATTGTTTCAACTGATGATGAATCAGCATAGGAATCAAAACGATCTCGTGACATCTAAATAAAAGGAAATTCGATATTTATAATGTGTTCTTCTTTTTCTTCTTACTTTCAATCGATTTTTTTTAATTCGAAATAAACGTTGAAGTTTTGACCAATATTTTACTTGTTTATCGTTTTTAACATTTGCAAATATATATAAAAAATGTTTCGAATATACTTCCGTATTAGTTGATAGATAATCGTTTAGTATCGATGATAAAGATTGTACTGTTGTTAAGTTTCGCTTTCTATTATATAGAGACATTTGGTAAATAGATTTAATGAAGAAAATAATATATAATTAGCAAAACTTACGTTGATGTATATAACGTTTGTTTTTGTCTATTTGATGAAAATGATAATGCCAATGACATAAATATATCAGAAAATTGTTGTTTTCCTATTTCATTATCATTATCATTTGTAAGAAGAATATGTAATAATGCGTAATTATTATTCGATAAACGATTAATAAGATGAAATGTTATTAATAATGGATTAAATCGATGATTTGAACAGAGTTCATTTAAATATTGACATGTTTCATTTGGAGATGAAACAAGATAATCATCGGACGATACTAAACATTTTTCTATTTGAAAAACAAAGTGAATAGATTTTCGAAAAAAAATAAAATAAAATAAAAATTTTACTTCCAAATTTTTTGCTATTTAAAAATTCTTGTACGCCAATACGAAGACTGAGATCTTTTTCTTGATTTTCATTAACAAAATTATATAAACGTGTTAATGTTGATGATACAACTGTACTTTGCAATTGATGAACTATACAGAAAAGAAAAGCGTTATTATTCAAATAACAAATCTGTCTACTCTTACTGTCTCGATGTTGACCAGAGAGTATAATCAATATATTAGAAGAATTCTGTATTAAACGTGGTATACATTCATCTAGAATATGTTCACTAATGTTCGTTGTCTGTTCATTATTAGGAAAGATCTCATCGAATAATAGCTGTTGCTTGTCATCTAATGGACATGAACAACGGAGGCCAAGCTTTATCTAAATAATATAAGATAGAGAAATAAAATTTCTTTTTCAATGTCTCAAAACGCATTGGTAATTCGACTGGGACATAGGCCCTTTTCTATACTGATGTATTAGTTATTTAAGATAGATAAAATTGACTGAATAGAGACCGTCAGTTGCATCGGTCAATCGAGAAAAAAAGATACTAACATTTCTCTTTACTAGAGAGACTACTATATTAGATTAACTGAAGAGTAAAAGACATGAATTATTTTTATGTATTTGTGTTCTTACTCGTGATGATGAAATAAACTTTTTTTGATGATAATTAGTATCAAAAATACTAGAATTTGACGAATCTGTTGTAATAGATGATTGAAGTTGATTAATAAATGAAGATGTCAATGGTGGTGCTGCTTGTTCTTGCTGTTGCATAAGTCCGACCGTATGCTTTTGGTCAACGCCGATCATTATTCCTTGTTTCGATGAGAGCAAACTACAAATGAAATGATGAAAGAAGACATGGCTCTAATTTCTACTTGATTAAACCAAGAACGAGAAGGGAAAGGGAGAGAGAGAGAAAAAAAAGAAATGTGTCATCTCTTTTGTTATAGTGAATGACGCAAGTACAGAAGTAATATAAAAGCAAATATACATCACATCTATACGTATGGAACACGTATGTACAAGGTTATACACGATCTCTGCTGACATTCTTCAACGAGTATTGAATTTCACTCT